AAACACCACATAATGTGGATGAACTTGGCGGACATTATACTAAGTGAATTAAGTCTACCACAGAAGGACAAATATTGTATTAGTCTACTATTATAAAAAGTCAATGAAAGGTTTATACATAGAAGGAAACTTTGTTGGTTACCAGGAATGGAAGCAGAGGGGAGGCTAAGTTCCTAAATAGATTGAAAACATCATATGCATATATGTGTGTGTGTGTGTATACATATATATGTGTGTGTATATATATATATATATATATATATATATATGTACACCAATCAAAGATTATTAGCGGTTACCAGGGATAGGAGGGAGGGGTAGAGGGGTTTTTTTTGTTTGCAGAGCATTGAGTTTATCCTATTGGTAGTGGAATATTTTGGAATAGGATAGCAGTAACAGTGGGACAACATGAAAAATGTCATCAATGTCCCTGAGCTGTAAATGGGAAATTGTTATGTTGGCAGATGTCTTGTGTATGTGTTCACCACAATAAAAGTAAAAAAAAAAAAAAAAAAGGAAAAAGCCTCACAACTGGCCCGATAAGCAGCATCACGATAAGTAGAGAAAAGATTAAAGTTTTCAAAGATTTCATATTACTTGGTTCCATAATCAGCACTAATGGAAGCAGCAGTCAAGAAATCAGATACCGTATTGCCCTGGGCAAATCTGCTGCAAAAGACCTCTTTATGAAGAGCAAAGATGTCTTTTTGAAGAGGAAGGTGTGCCTAACCCAAGCCATGGTGTTTTCAGTCACCTTATATGCATGTCAAAGCTTGGCAGTGAATAAAGAAAACTGAGGAAGTATTGATGATTTTGAGTTGTGGTGTTGGCAAAGAATACTGAAAGTACAGTGGACTACCAGAAGAACAAACAAGTATGTCCTGGAAGAAGTGCAGCTGGAATGCTCCTTGGAAGCAAAAATGTCTAGACTTCATCCCACCTACATAGGAGCTCTGGTGACGAAGTGCCTAAGGCACTTGACTGCTAACCAGAAGGCTGGCTGTTCAAACCCACCAGCCACTCCTGGGAAGGAAGGTTGGGCAGTCTACTTCTGTAGTGACACCACCTCGGAAACCCAAGGAGGGGTTGTTGTGAGTCGGAGATGACTCGAGGGCACATAACAACAACACCACTTTGGTCATTGCAGTGTAGTAAATTACTTAGTGTGGCTTTTCTACCCATAAGTCTTTGTAAACTCCAAGGTGGAATTTGCCATGAGTAACTGAGGAGCTCCTGATTGCTAAAGTTGTCCACTTGGGATATTTCTGTTGAGAGTGGCACTAAACAATGTTGTGGGAGGTTCCTGCTCTCTCAGGTGTTTAGAATTCTGATGCTATGATTAGCTAGTTTGACCACTCTGCCGGGCTCAAAAGGAGGCCTCCTAGAGGCAGAACTCTCTCTGACTGCTGGCTGAGGAAGATGTGCTGCTGAAAGAGACATGCGCTCCTTAGACACGCGTTGCGGGGAAAGAGACGCAAGAGACACGCATTGCCGAGTAAGACACCGAGGGACACGCACTGCTAGGAAAGAGACTGTGAGAGACTGTTGGCTGAGGGACGGTGGGCTGGGGGAGAGACTGAGTATCTTTCCTAAACTTGAATTATAGCCTGTGGTGCTTCCCTAATAATCTGTGAGCTCTGTGTGGCCACTGCAGTGAATTTTCTAACCCAGGAAAGAGGTTGGTGGGTGCTTTGGGAGGAATGATTGGTGAAAGGGCAGGAGGGAGGCAGCATGTCTGTCCTTTCAGTAGTAGACCTTGGGCTATTGATGATGATTCTGTCTTCCTCTTGTGGGGTTAGAGGAAGTCAGAAAAATGTGGTCTCCTTGCCCTTTTAGCAGTCATGTTGTCAGAAGGAACTATTGCCTGGAGGATATCATGTTTGGTAAAGTGGAGGGTCAGTGAAAAAAGGGAAGGCCCTCAACGAGATGCATTGATATAGTGGCTGCAGCTATGGGCTCAGGTATAGCAAGGATTGTGAAGTTGATGCATGACTGGGCAGTGTTTCTTTCTGTTGTACTTAGGATCACTGGGCAGTGTTTCTTTCTGTTGACTTAGGATCGCATCTGACTGACTAGATAGCACCTAACAACAGCAACAGATATTGGATATATGCATATAAAATTTTGTATACTTTTGTGCTTAAATGTTTTCTTAACATAAAAATAAAAAGGAAAATGAAGGCAACATATAAAATGGCAGAATTTTAAAGGGATGTCCTGTGATACAGAATTACAGAAGAACCCTCTGTCAAGCTGAGGATAACTGTGTGAGATGCTTTTCATACCTGGGTAGAGATGTTGAACAGGCTCCTGTCCACACATTTGGAGTCCAAGAAGGAAGACTGGGGCTGAAGAGAGATGCCGGGAGTGAGTTGGAAGCAAGTAGGGTGTATTTAAATCCATGAGTCTAGCTAGCCTTAGGTAGTGAGTATAGATCAAGAGACAAGAGGACAGAGGACTTCATTCTAAAGTTTTGATCTGGAAAAGATGAGAAGTTCCAGCAAAGTGACTTCAAGTCTCGTTGTTGTTGTTGTTGTTGTTAGGTGCCGTCAAGTCGCTTCCAACTCATAGCGACCCCATGCACAGCAGAACAAAACACTGCCTGATCCCACACCAGCTCCACAATCCCTGCTATACTTGAGCCCATCATCGCAGCCACTGTGTCAATCCATCTCATTGAAGGCCTCCCCCTCTTTCATCGACCCTCCACCTTACCAAGCATGGCATCCTTCTCCAGGGAATGGTCCCTTCTGACAACATGACCAAAATAGATGAGATGAAGTCTGGCCATTCTTGCTTCCAAGGAGCATTTCGGGTGCACTTCCTCCAGGACAGATCTGTTAGTTCTTTTAACAGTCCATGGTACTTTCAGCATTCTTTGCCAGCACCACAACTCAAAAGTATCAACTCTTTTTCGGTCTTCCTTATTCATTATCCAGCTCTCACATGCATACGAGGCGATTGGAAATATCATGGCTTGTGTCAGGCGCACCTTAGTCCTCAAGGAGATATCCTTGCTCCTCAGCACTTGAAACAGTTCCTTTGTGGTTGACTTTCCCAATGATACACGAAGAAGGAGGAGGTCATCCACCTCTCAAATAATTGGCCAGGGAAAACCTTATGAATAGCAAAGAAACACAAGTCTCTTTAGGCACCAAGAAAAATACCCTAAAGGCCAAATAATTACCTGGGACTGCAAAGTCAGGTGAACTCAGGGTGAAAGATGACCATTGGCTGTGCAGTCTTAAGATCATGTCACAAAACACCATGTACTCACTGCTCAGCTATTGCAGATCTTAACATTTCTGTGGTAATACTTCAAATCTTTGAATTAGAAAATGAAATAAAACACTCAAGACTCCATCCCTGATGTCATTGCCCATTCTGAACTATCTCCACTGTTGCCTGGAGTGTACTTCACTACCTGTCTGATTCCTATCTCTCCTTATAGTGTCCTACACTCCTGCTAGGCCTCATAGTATATCACTTAGTGATGAGAACATATGCATATGGCTTGTGGATCCCCTCTTGCCTACTTGACTCCCGTACTCACTCCTTTGCTGTTCATTCCCACCTCCCTGGCTGACTCCTACTCACCTTGCACATTTCTTAGCAGCAATCTGTTTAGTGTTTTCTAACCAGCCCAAACAGAACTGATCAGTGCCGCATTTTAGTTCCAATAGAATATCCATCTCTATGCCTTTCTATGCCTTTTCATAAACTTGTGTGTTCATGAGGACTGAACTGTGTGGAAAATGGATGTGCTGGTCTCCCATGATACACCATATTTGGCTGTCATAGCACATACTTCACTGAATTGTATTTAACTGTTTGCCTCTGTTCCCCCACCTGCTTACCAAGCTGCCATCTCTCTGAGGGAGGGAAGCTGTCTTTCATTGTTTTTTTTGTTTTTTTTTTTTTAATCCCAAGTGCTTAACATTATAGGCCACTTGAGTTAGATGACCTGAATTCAAATCTAGGGTCCATCCATCACTTATGAGCTATATATGACCTTGAAAATTTACTGAACTTCTCTGAGCCTCAATTATTGTATCCACCTTAAAGGTGGGATAGTGAGAGGATTTGATGAGGAAATGAATATACAGCACTTAAAACAGTGCCTAGCACACAGTGAGAACTCTGTAAGTGTTAGGACCATCATTATAATTATTGGGCAGTAGTATATAAAAGAATGCACAGACAGATGGACAGATGAGTGGGTGAGTGGGTGACATAACTTTGTAATCTGGGTGCCTGCCCCTGTTCTTGACTAATCGTGGCTGCTAGTAAGTGTTGGCTGAATTAAAATTGAAATCTAGTGAAATGCTTCCTTTAATAATGTATCTGATTCCAGTAATGAGCAACCAAGGGTTTATGTATCACACCAGCTGTCACATACTATATATTGTTTCACAAAATAGTTCTTGGTGAGACGAAGGAAATTTGGTCGACGCTATCTTCTCTCTTTCCCTACCTTCTGATGTTGTTGTTGTTGTTGTTATGTGCCGTCGAGTCAAACCCGACTCATAGTGATCCCTCCTTGGGTTTCCGAGGCAGTATCACTACGGAAGCAGGATTGCCCAACCTTCCTTCCGAGGAGTGGCTGGTGGGTTTGAACCGCCAGCCGTCTGGTTAGCAGGCAAGTGTCTTAGCCACTATGCTACCAGAGCTCCCGATAGTTAGCTCCAACTCCACTTCTTTGGGAATTGTCCTTAACTCTTCTTCACAGTTTTGTCAACACTATTAAGGCTGAAATAAATTTTTAAACAATCGTGATTGAGTCATCTGCCTTTCTGACTGATTGAATCTGCAAACTGGTATTCACAGCACTTGTTTATATCCGAGTGTAGCAGTATTTTCTACTTCTTGAAAATGTGCCTTTTCATTTAGGCAAACCTCTCTTGTTAAATTGTCATCTAGGGGAAAATAACCAGGCATCATTCATCCCTTATCTGAAGTTTCTAACTTAAAGAAATGTGTGTTTCATTTTCTTTCTATAGGCTCCTCGTTCGGAAGCTCTCACCATTCTCGGTGCCCTTGTCTGCTTTCCAAACACCTACCAGGAGATCCCACTACTGCAATCAGTGGCAGAAGTTAACGAGGTCATCACAGGAACTGAAGATATCAAGGTAATAATCCACTTTACTAAATCTCAAGTTTAGCGTTTTTTAATTATACCTATATTATTATGTATTGATCTGCTTATCCTTGAAGTTTCGCTCTATAACATAGATGTTTCAGTAGTTGTTTATAGGAAGTGTAACTATATTAGATTCAGGCTATATTAGAGTAAAAACTGATAATTACTTTCTTCAGATTTTTTTAAGATGTTTATAATTTCTATGAATCATAATTATGTAGTGAGTGATCTGCATCAATTTTATTGGCTTAATTATGCTGCTTTAGGAAATCAAATGAACTTAAAAAATAATTGTTCAGTTCCATTGTTGGCCTGACGAAATGTTAGTAATAATTTGAAATGCTAAAATATTTCTTGAAGAATAAATGAAAAGTAAACATTTTTCTCTCCTCCCAATAATTTTGGGGCAAAGAAAAATGGTTTCAGACCCCAGAATCTATCTAAAGTACATGATTACGATATATAATATGATGTTTCCAATTAAAGTCAAAAATAACTGAGTTTTTTCTACCTGGAAATCTCATTCGCTTTGCTATTTGTTTTTATTTTCATTGTATTTGCTATTTGTTTTCATAGTATACCTGGATAGGCTTCTATCTAGGATGGATCAATTGCCTAGGGAGGGCCCTGCTGAGACCCCCATCATGCTATCCTTTCCACCTAGGTTCCCTCCTCTTGGCTTCTCCCTAGAGGAGCCTTTCAAGCTCTGTGGTCATTCAGGAACCCTAGCTGCCTGGAACATGACAGAATGTGTGGGAACCAACTATGAAACTAAGCTTTTATTTTATTTAATTTATGTTTTTAGCATTACCTCATAAATATTTTACTGAAGAATGCCACAGAGGAGCCAAATGAATGTGCAAGGTAAATGTTAAATAGAAGGTAAACTGTTATAGAATTTTAAGACTTATGTGTAAATGGTTCATGTTAAAAACACTTATGCTTCTCTGTTCCTCTTCCAAAAAAGACCCAAAGCCAAACCCACTGCCATCAAATCGATTCTGACTCCTAGCGTCTCCTATTGGGTTTCCAAGGTGGTAAATCGCTACAGAATTAGATTGCTTCATCTTCCTTCCACGAAGTGGCTGGTTGGTTTGAACTGCCTACCTTCTGGTTAACCATTAATTGCCTTAGGCACTGGACCACCAGCACTCCTTCCTGTTACTCTTAACACATTCTAAAAAGTATAATATAAATTATATCAGAAAAAATGCTTTACTTAATTATTTAAAATGCCATCATTTTTAAGTGAAAATAGTAAGGTATACAAGATTAGATATAGTATGTTATTTTTTATGTTAAAAAAAAAGGAAAATACAAATGTGTAGATATGTATGTATTCCTTCATATTTTCAGTAAGAAAGAAAATGGAAAGATAAACCAAAAACCAGTAAAAATGTATACCTATAGGATAGTGGTTCTCAAGAACAGGTGATTTTTCCCCATAAAGGACATTTGGCAGTATCTAGAGAAATTTAGTTGCTTCTGGCAGGCAACTCAGGTTGCTAGCAATCTGCAACCTAGATAGGAGGTTTTTCTGGACCACCTGTATAATGACAAGGCCCTCCCTTTCTTTCCAAGGTGAAGTCCAAATTTGGGAATACCAGTAGAGGGGAATACCAGTCTCTGATCTTCAATCCCCAGCTCTACACAGTGACCAGAAGCCCAGCTCCACCTTTTGCTGCCTCCTATGAATTGACTTACACCCTGATCTGTCTCTAGGCTAATGCCAATTTGGCATCCCATCGTCCATCACTGTCTTGTTAGCTCATTAATGACCTTAAAGGTTTTTTTAGGTTTTTTATGCTTGTATGTTTGTTTAGTCTAACTTCTTCAGGTTGTTGTTGTTATTTGCTGTCGAGTTGGCCCCGACTCATATCAACCCCTCCTTGGATTTCCGAGGCAGTATCACTACGGAAGTAGGATTGCCCAACCTTCCTTCTGAGGAGTGGCTGGTGGGTTTGAACCGCCAGCCTTCTGGTTAGCAGTCA